AAATAGTTTTTGATATAATAAAAATGATCGCTTGTATTCATGTTACACAGTTATGTTTAACATCATAAAAAGACAGAAGATAATTGTTAAAATTTGAAATGCTTCTGAAAACTAATGTTTAACGTTTATATTCCTGAATGAATTTGTTTATTTTATTATTTCCTGTTCAATTTATCTATTTACACATTACTGAGTCAGTGATAACCTAGAAACTTGAAAAATCAAAAAATTTTTGTGACTGTTACGTTAAAAACACGAAAAAGATGACATTTTTCATAACAAAACAGATATTAAAATTAATGGATTTTAATAGGCGTGTTCACTGAGAAAGTTGGTCTAGACTATCTTGAGAATGGCTGAACGTATCGAGTTATCCTCTGGTTTATAAGGGTTTCTCGATGTGTTCTTTCTTTTTGTCTCTAGAAAGTTTTTTCCAAAACTCTCGGAAGATGGGTTTCTAGAAAAACGTGGTTTTTAGCTATAGCTGACGAAAAAGCTGAATTTTCAAAAAAGATGAGCGTTAGAAAATTTTTTTGAATATCATATTCGGATTCAGCATTGAAAGACGAACATTTAAAAAAAATTCAAGCCTCTACCTCAAAAATTAAATTTATAAATTGAATTGCAAATTTTTAAAAGTTCACCTTTTTTTAAGTTTAAAATAGTTCAATGCAGGTAGATGGTAGAAAGCTGATTCAAGCATCAATCAATGGAGAATTCAAAACTGAACAAACGTTGGTGTTTGGCAATTTTCACATATTACATGATTATGGTTTTCTTGAGGATTTTAGGAGAGAATTCACCAGAAGACTACCCTATTCTTCCTATATGCTGCAGGAGGAAAACCATTTTTTTTAATTTGATCATTTCAAATAACAGGTATAGTCAAACCATATTAAAATCCAAAATATTAGGTCATTTGGCTTTGTCTGTCAAAAACGCCAGCTAAAACAAGTTCAATGGGTCTATTTTGATCTCTATTTAGCCAGTTTTTAGTTGAAAAAATATAATCTAACTCAAAGCCAATATCAAATTTGGAATCAGTGTCAAAAACTGAATTGATTCATAAATGTTTTACGTATTTCTGAGAAAAATATTTGCTCATCGAAAAAAATAACTCCTACACTCTCGTAGGATTCATCAAAAAATAATTTATCTGAAAGTGGTGTTTCGGTCGTTGGGTCTTTTGCAGTTTTGCATTTATTGACATTAGTAAAGCTCGCTACTTCATTCGACAGAATAATTGGCGTTTTTGAGAGAAATTATTTTTTGATGAATTCTGAGGGAAATACTCTGAAAAAAATGTGTCATCAAGAACCATTTATAGTTTTAGCAAAGATGCTGAAATTTTTAAGGTTTCATCCGTCCATTAATAAATCCGCAAGGGATGCTAGATAATTTAAAGAATGAAAGCAGATAAAAAATGTTTCCAAGCATTTATAAGAGTTCTATCTCATACCCTTTTTGTTTATGCTGAACTTCTTTTTTAAAAACGGTTCTAGCCCAGGTTGCTTTAACTAAGGTTGAGTATTTTTAAATGTGACTTAATTAACAAAAAGCTAGAATGGTTTTACTTATTTTATAAGAATAAAAAGCAGGCTATAGGCGCCACTAGGATGGCACTCTAATTTTAAAAAATGAAAGTTAAAGTAGTTACGTCATCGAATAATAGAAAATTTATCTATGGAAGAACAAATGAAATCGGCATTAAAATATTTTCAATTATCATCGGATGCTTTCTCATTTTTAAAAGATTATGTTAATACTAATTCTTTATCAGTTGATTTTGAACCAGCTCTATTAGCATGTATATCATGGTTAATGTTAGCTCAAGCAGCAGAACTTGCTTATTTGAAATCAGCTAGTTTTAAGGGTAAAGAAAAAAGATGAAAATAAGAAGAAAAAAAACAGTTATTTTAATTATTTAGATGAAGTAGCAGCTAAAGTTGCAGCATATGCGGCTGATTATTATAAAGAAGCTTATACATTAGTAAAAACTGAAAGTTCGAAAAAAGCTATTTCAGAAGTGGGTCGATTTGCTTTTGCTTTTTCTGAATTTCGAGATAATCGAACCTTAAATCTACTCCGCACATTTTTTTTACAAGAGTTCTGATTCGCCTAGGAATTATTATATAAACTTTTGTTCCTGTGTGACGATGAAATAAAGTGTTTTTCTTTCTGATGTCAAATACATCACATTTTAATATAATTTTTCTACCATCTGTTTCTACTATTTAAGAATTATGCCAATAATGTTTGTGAAACGTTTATTATTTCAATCAAAAACAGAATATCATGCTGGTAATCAAGCTCAAACTGATCGAAAATATGGAATTAAAGTAGTCCGATATGATGAAAGTTAAATAGATATGAAAATAATAAATTAAATATTTATGTTAAATTAGCATGCAACAGATTTAACTGATCAAGCAGTTAATAAATGTACAGTAGCTGTTTTTACACCAACACTTCGTACAAATCAAGAGAAAATAACTAAAGCAGCAACAGCTGCACATAAAGATAATGATTTTGTTTATCAAGCACGGATACCAGATTCGAAAACACTTGAAACTATTTTAGCTCAACCAATTGCTAAACCATTACCAGTTATATTATTTCCATTAACACCTGATTTTCGAGATAATTTGACATTTCAATTTAATTTCTTTTAATATTAATTACTTATTTAGATTTATTTGCTTCACTAGTTCCAATTGCATTGAATAATGAATTACCAGCATTTAGTGCAAAATGTGCAGAAATAATGAATATAGAAATCGTCTTCGAGAAGCAACGAATGTTCTCAATTCGTAAGTTTATTTAGAATGAAAATTTTTATTGTTAATATTCGATTTTGTTTTTAGCTTTTTGGCTTCAGTTAATTCACCAGCTGCTATTGAAGATCGTGGTGATCATCAAGTTCCTCAATCAGTTATTGAAAAATCAAATGCAAATAAACAACAAGGTGGTATTAATACATTAGATGAAATGATTAATGATTTACCTGAATCATTAAAACGAAATAAAGAAATTCTTGATGAAATAATTTTTAGATTTTTTTTTTTATAAATAAATTTTTATCTGACTTTTTTGTTTTATTACCCAGTGAAAAATAATGTAAAAAAAAAACGGCTAAGAACGCATTTCAAAAAAGTGAATGCCATTTTTTTAAGAAAAGAAGACGTTCCAAAAAAAGTGGAAAGCGTTCCAAAATGGAATGGTGGAGAACGCGTTCCAGACTCTTGAAGAACGTTTTCTTTTCTTAAAAAAAAGGACTTTTATTTTTTCGAAACACGTTCTTTCTCGTTCCTATTTATAATGATGAATAACGAACTTCGCTTTTTCTAAGACCCTTTCTTTTAAGTCTTCCAATCATTCTGTATAATTCTTCTATTAATTGGAATTTATTTTTGGTATTTTTCCAAAATAAAAAATAAATATTTTATCAAATTTCACATCTGAAAAATTACAAGAAATTAGATAAAATATTTAAGTTTTACTTTGGAAAAATGCTAAAAATAAATTCCAATTAATAGAAGAATTATACAGAATGATAGGAAGACTTAAAAGAAAGGGTCTCAGAAAAAGCAGAGTTCGTTATTCATCATTATAAATAGGAACAACGAAGAACATATTTTGAAAAAATAAAAGTTTTTTTTAAGAAAAGAAAAGAAATTTGATAAAATATTTAAGTTTTACTTTGGGAAAAGACTAAAATAAATTCCAAGTGATACGGCAACCATATAGGATAATAGGAAAACTCAAAAGATTGGGAAGTCGTCTGGACTCGCTCTCCAATAGCATGAAGATATATAGTTTTCGCTACTTTCTCCGAGATACTATTTAATATAAAAATCAAAGGTATAAATATATGTAAATACAGACGAAATATTACTTTCAAATATTTTGATTTCAAGGATTCCCTTCATGTTTCTCAAAATAATTCACATGCAGAACTAAATAAAAATTATCAGCTACTATCGTTTGTTATTTTCTTATCTTCACCTGCATGGACGAGAAAATTTACGAGTGATATTTCTTCTTCGTTCATGCTAATGCAAAAAAAGAAAAGAATTGACATAATTGATAATCATGAATTGGTTCCATATTATGACTCATTTATCTAAGTAAAAGAAAATAAGTTAAAGGACGTAGAAGAAATCTCAAGACTATGATAGGTCTCTATCACTTTGTTTAAGAACATTTATCTGCTACTATTTTGCTTCCTAGCTGACTAAAATAAGAAAAGACACAATCACTTATGTTGATAAAATTCATCGAAAACAGCAACTAATAGAAATGAGGAAAACGACGGCGAAAGAAAATATATCGTGAATAGAAGAAAAGGCAGGAATAAAAGTGAGATGAGACAAAAGCGTTTGCTCATTATATACACACACTATGTATTAATTGGCCTGATTAACACGCCACACAGCAATGGATAAGGGTAAGAGTTGTATGTAAAATGGATGATTATCAGGAAAATATAGACACGAAAGAAAATATGATGAACGTTGCTGACTATTCTACATATGTATTTAGTTTATATGGAATGTATGAATATATAATATGAAATGATTATTTCACTATTCTAGAAGTTCAACGGTTAGTTGCATGAAGCCGACTATGGAATAGATAGATGAATTACTTTTGATCAGTTTCAATTGATTGAATAAACGACATCTCGATATGGTCGTTAACATTGAAAGAATAAAGTAGTGAATCAAATTTTCTTCATTGTCTGCGGAATAATCATTGAAATAAATAAATTGATAATTTGAAGAGAAAAATCACATCACATTCTCTCCTTTCCTCTTAAATCGTTCATCGTTATTTTCTGAGTTATCTATTTTCTTTTCTCGTCTTTTCTTCTGTATAGGTCATTGTTCTATGTGAAATAGTTAGAAGTAAGAATGTGAACTAAAGTATAACAAACATTGCTGTTGAAAGTAACGATCGTGTTATATCTGCAGTTCATTATATTTTAGTCAAGAAACAACGAGAAAAAAAATTTAATGTATTTGAGAATAACGAGGAACGATTTAAGAGGAAAGGAGAGAATGTGATGTGATTTTTCTCTTCAAATTATCAATTTATTTATTTCA